ATTAGGCAGGTTAAAGACTCCTGCAGGAATTCAAATGGTTTATTTTGGTGGGTGTCATGCTCAGCCGCTCAGAAGCATCACTCTGCATTGATCATGGGCTACACTTCCATCAGCCTTACCCCCAACTCTTGGCAGCCAATGCAAGCTTTTCCAAAGGGATTTTGTTGGCCCAGTTTGAGATGCCTTAAAAGAGTCTGATTTTCACAGCCCTTTGTTCAAATCAGCCTCCTCTTGAGGTGATTGGGTTAGCTCCCAACCCTTATTCCCAGCGGGGTTAAGATTAGCACCCAGGTCTCCTGATTTGCACTGTCAGTCCTTGGTGCCCTTGTCACTAGTCCACACTGCCTCCATATGGGACCTTGGCTAACTATGCTAGGCAGGCAGTGGTGCCTAGTAGATAGGGCATTGCACGCGGACTCAGGAAACTTGTGTTCAATACCTAGCTCTGCCACTGGCCTGCTGGATGACCCTGGGCAAGTCGCCTCACTGCCTTATACCTCAGTTTCCCCATTTGTAAGAAGGGGATAATGATCCTGACCTCCTGTGTAAAGTGCTCGGAGTTCTACTGTTGAAAGATGTGGTAGAAGAGCTAGGGGCTATTAGTAACTCAGTACGTGGTGTCAGTGACAGTTAGGCTGAATTCATTGCCACAAGAAACTGCTGACTTTAGCAAGATTTCAAAAGGAGAATTAGACTGGCAAAGTCTTCCAAGTTTAGAACTGGCCTAAGTGCCATTCTTAGGAGCCTAAATCCCCACTCAGGTCTTCTATATCTCAGGCTTGCACACTTACCCCTGCACCATCCTTCCCTTGCAGTTTGCAGCTGCTTTACACTTATTCTGCATGGCAAAAGCTTTGCACAAAACCAGAGCTATCAGGACCAAGAAACCGTTTGACTCACTGAACGGCGAGAGAATTAATAAAGTATCTTTAACTATTTGAGGAACTTTTATGGTCCCATCAGGTGGATGAACAATGGATTTTTTGGTTCATTGGCAGTTTTGAAAAGTAAAAAACAAAGATCATTTCTTGTCAGACCAAAAATTTAAAAAAGTTAAATTGTCAGTGAATTGGAAAGTCAGGGGGAAAAATTGTTTCAGGTTGAACAAAACACTTCGTTTTGACAAAATCAAAGCATGCTATTTTGAATTTGAATCTTTTTGAACTTTCAAAAATGAAATTAAAAGAAATGTTCATGCTGACATATCAAAATCTTTCCTGTTGAAAATGTCAAAACTGTTTTGATTTTTCAGAATTTTTTTAAAGTTTCTTTCTGAAACAAAAAAAAATGTGTGAAATCAACACAAATTCATTTTTGATGGGGCCCAACGCAGTATCCCTGCACCAGACCAATGGGCCAATCTGTCCCGCACTTCCTTAGGTTAGACCAGTGGTCCATCCAACCCATTCGCTGCAGTTGAGACCTATCTATGTAAGGCACCCAATCTTGCCTCTATTACCATAATACCTGAGCACCTCACAATCTTTTAATGTATTTATCTTCTCAACCCCCCATAAAGTGGGGCAGTGCTATCCCCATTTTACAGGATGGGAAACTGAGGCACAGAGAAGCTCAGTGACATGCCTCAGGTCCCCTAGGAAGTCTGTGGGAGAGCAGGAATTGAACCTCGGTCTCCCAAGTCCAAAGCTACTGCCATAACCACTGCATTACTGTTTGTAAAGCTCACTGCAGGTTAGTTCTATGTATTGTCCTTCACAAGAGGTTAAGAAAAATTGTCAAAGCAATTTTAAGGGAGGAATAGGAAAAAATATCCACAGTTTGTCTTCAAAGAAGCAGCAGGGGCCAAAAGAGATTGGGAAATGAGACCCTTATTTGGCAGTGAGAGATACTGAGCCATAAAGGATTTTATGTCTCATAATGGAGGAAATGGCCAAAACTAAGAGTGAGCCGGGGAAAAAGGAGACAGGGAAGAAAAAAAAGAAATGTAAAATTTATAGAGGAGCCGAATGCATAATGAACTCAAGCAAAGTGAGTGGTTCCTAGTGATTTAATGGGCACTGGCCCAGCAGAAGGCCTCGCTGGCTCAAATCTTCCATGTAAAGGCCTTGTAAAAAACTAACATTGGACAGGGTTTAACTCAGGTGAGGTGAAAGGGCCCCGGATGAGTCCCTGTAAAGCATAACCTGTGGTAGAACTCACTGGCACTGTTCTCCACAGGCAGCCTTTCACCGCAGCCAAGCTGGGGGACAAAGACACAGCCACAAGGAAGGGAGGTGAGGTGAGGTTAGGGATAGATAGATAGATGGGAGTGTGTAGGGGGGTGGATGGATAGATAGGTGAGAGGTGTTTTTGGGAAGTGATGGGGAAAGAAAGAGGTATCGATTTTTAAACTGCAATAAGAAAGAAAGAAAGAAAGAAAGAAAGAAAGAAAGAAAGAAAGAAAGACCATCTAGAGCAAAACCCCTGTGTTAAGGCGCAGTAAAACTGAAGCAGGGTGTGTGCCTATGAGTCTGAGTTATGGGAGGTGCCAGCAGAGCTTTGGCCCTAGAGCAAAGCCCCTGTGTTAAGGTGCAGTAAAACTGGAGCAGGGTGTGTGAGTCTGAGTTATGGGAGGTGTTCCTGGAATGGGGATTACTCCCCTCCCCAGTGAAGACATCATCTAGGCCAGTGGTCCCCAAAATTCACTTTGTGCCCCCCTTACCTCTAGGAGAGCGCACCCCACAGTTTGGGGACCTCTAATCTAGGCACACCCCTCCCATTGCTTTACCACCATGCAATCCTCTGTCCCCATCTACTCCACTGCATCCCTCTCCCAGCTACACAAGGATCCAGGCAAATAAAACCTACCCATAAAACCAGGCGATTTACTGCACTTAATTTGATAGGCTACATAAACCATGAAATATAAACAACAGGACATAAAAGAGCAGCCAAAGCAGGTGGCCTTGTAACAAAGTGCCCTGTGGCCTGGACGGTCTCTCCTCTGCAAAGATCTGTTGCCGCGCAGTTGGGAAACTCAGAGGCTGGGTGCTAACACAGCAGGAAGGATGCTAAGGCAGGAAGATGAGTGTCTGCAATAGAGGCAGGAAGCAGGAGCGCTCCGGTCCGTGACTCCATAAACTCCACCATTATCCATCATGCCACAGCGCAAGATACAATCTCAACTCTATTACAATCCTGAGCCAACATAGGTATTGTGCAAAGTGGTAACAACCTAGGATCCGCACACATATACAAGGTGACATGCAGCTGTTGTTACACAGCCTCAGAAATTCATCCATCTCTGCTTAACTTTAGTTCAACCAGAAATTATTCCAGGGCCGTCCTGTGGCCTTTCACCCTGGAGATCAGAATAGATTATCACAGGGGTACCTTCTGACCTTAGAATCTATGAACTTCGGGACTTTGCACTTGAAGCTGGCTGCAGCCCCAGGCACACCTCAGAGAGAGCATGATCGAATGGCTAAGCCCTTATGAGGGGAATGAGGACACCTGGGTTCTATTCCCGGCTCAGAAAGTGGGGCAGGAACTGTCTATTACTTTGTGCATGTACAGTGCCTAGCAAAATAGAGGCCCAATCTTGGCTGTCCCTTAAGCGCTACTATAATACACATCGATAAAATTATAGCAGTTAGAGCAGCAGGGCTGGGTGTCAGGACACCATGGTCCTAGTCCCAGCTCTGGAAGGAGAGTGGGGTCTATTGGTTGCAGCAGGATGGGCTGAATCCCTGGGTTCTAGTGTGGTCTAGTGGTTAAAGCAGGGGGATGAGAATCCAGATACCTGGATTCTATTCCTATCTCTCCCATTACCATAATGCCTAGGAGTCTCAGTCATGGACAGTCATGGACCCCATTGTGCTAGGCTCCTTGTGTACATGTCTCCACACTAATGGCTATGCCGGTAACACTACATCAGTAAAAAGTCATCCCACAATCCACACAATTATACTGAGACAAACACTGTGTGCATAGCAGGTCTTAGACTGCAAGATCTTTGGGGCAGGGGATGTCTCTCACTATGTGTCTGTGCAGAGCCTGGCACAATGGGACCCGGATCTCAGTGGGCTCTGTGCAGTGCCAACACTATCAATTTGATCGACAGATCTATATCTATGCACTACCGTAACACCACTAATAATGTGTAAATCTCAAATCCCCTGAAAGACACAAATCTGCAGTGCATTAGTTTCTCTCTGACACCCTTTACCGAGAGGAACGATGGGACGAGTGGGTGGCTGAGCGACAAGGAGAGACAAATGCATGCAGGTAGCGGGAATGTGCACACGTCTCTGTTATCTGCTTCTAATGTATGCAGTGTTGTGGCTATATCTCCGAGGCAGCTGGAAGCTGGCGTGTCAGCGTTGCCATTAGAAAGCTCTTATTAACATGGATTTATACGTCTTCTGCAGCAGATTTTGCAGCCTGACAGATGCCGGGGGAAGATTTAGTGCTGGAAGCAAAGTGAGGTGGGGGGGTGCATTAGTGGTGCTGGATTTTTTAATTGATAAGGGGATCTGCTTTTTGGGTCGTAAAAGGAAAAAAACCACCCCAGATTTCATCTGGACCATGGAGAAGTTTTGTTGGGATTTTTAGCTGAGTGATTTTATTTTTCAATCATCAAAAATAGATGTACCTATCGGCTGACTGAGACTTTGTTGTGAGGTGGTGTGATTTATTGGTCAAGGCACTGGACTAGGACTCCAGACACTTGGATTCTGTTCCTGGCTCTGCCACTGACTTGCTGGGTGACCTTGGGCAAGTCACTGCCTCTCTGGTTCCTTCACGACTCTTTGTCTGTTAGAGTCTAAGGTCTTCAGGGACTGCCTTTTGCTGTGTGTCTGTGAAGAGTCAGCATATCAGGGCCCTGATATTGGTGGGGGTCTATGCAGTGCCTGACCTGATAGATCCATCAATCGATTGATAGACAGAACACCCAATGCTCAGCCCCCATTCCCATGTTGCAGGCCTACCCCATCTCTAATCCCCATGTAGCTCCACCTCCATAATTCAGGCTCCTCCCATTTCTCTCCCCTCTACAGGTCCCAAAGGTGTAACCCAGGGTCCACTCCCCACCACCCCCGGCACAATGACAACAGCATCCACGGTGACCTCCACGGTGGTGACCACAGCATCAGCCATGGACCTGCGTGACTGGCTCTTGCTGTGCTATGGCCTGGTGGCCTTCCTGAGCGAGGTGATGGCCAGTGGTGCCTCCTGCCCCTCGGTGTGCCGCTGCGACAACGGCTTCATCTACTGCAACGACCGGGGCCTGACTTCCATCCCAGCCGACATCCCCGACGATGCCACCACCCTGTACCTACAGAACAACCAGATCAACAACGCTGGTATCCCCTCCAACCTCAAGTCCAAACTCAACGTCCAGGTGATCTATCTCTATGAGAACGACCTGGACGAGTTCCCTATCAACCTGCCACGCTCACTGCGGGAGCTACACCTCCAGGACAACAATGTGCGCACCATCGCTCGCGACTCCCTGGCCCGCATCCCCCTGCTGGAGAAGCTCCACCTGGACGACAACTCCGTCTCCACTGTCAGCATTGAGGATGACGCCTTTGCTGACAGCACCCGCCTCAAGCTGCTCTTCCTGTCCCGCAACCACCTCAGCAGCATCCCGTCTGGCCTGCCTCGCACTTTGGAGGAGCTGCGGCTGGATGACAACCGCATCTCCACCATCCCGCTGCATGCTTTCAAAGGGCTGAACAGCCTGCGGCGGCTGGTGCTGGATGGGAACCTGTTGGCCAACCAGCGCATCGCCGACGACACCTTCAGTCGGCTGCAGAACCTCAGCGAGCTGTCCCTGGTGCGCAACTCTCTGGCTGCCCCTCCGCTCAATCTGCCCAACTCCCATTTGCAGAAGCTGTACCTCCAGGATAACGCCATCAGCCACATCCCCTACAACACCCTGTCCAAAATGAGGGAGCTTGAGAGGCTGGACTTGTCCAACAACAACCTCACCACTCTGCCCAAGGGCCTGTTCGATGACCTGGAGAGCCTGACCCAGCTGCTGCTCAGGAACAACCCTTGGTTCTGTGGTTGCAGCCTCATGTGGCTGAGGGACTGGGTCAAGGCCCGGGCTTCAGTGGTCAACGTGAGGGGGCTGATGTGTCAAGGGCCAGATAAAGTGAGAGGCATGGCCATCAAGGACATCACCAACGAGATGGATGAGTGCTTTGAGGCGGGTGCACAGGGCAATGCAGTGGCAGCCAAGACCACCACCAGCCACGCAGCCGTCACTACACCTCAGGGCTCCCTCTTCACCCTCAAGGCCAAGCGACCTGGGATCCGCCTGCCAGACTCCAACATTGACTACCCCATGGCCACAGGGACCGGCACCAAGGCTTTGGTTCTCAACGTCAAGCCACTGACGGCCGATAGCATCCAGATTAGCTGGAAGGCCATGCTACCTGCTGCTTCCTTCCGGCTCAGCTGGCTGCGTCTGGGTCACAGCCCAGCGGTAGGCTCCATCACCGAGACCCTGGTGCAAGGGGACAAGACCGAGTACTTGCTAACGGCCCTGGAGCCCAAGTCCACCTACATCATCTGCATGGTCACCATGGAGACAGGCAGCACATATGTGGCAGATGAAACTCCGGTGTGTGCCAAAGCAGAGACAGCTGACACCTACAGCCCCACTACCACCCTCAACCGGGAGCAGAACGTTGACCCAATGGCTGGGCTGCCTCTGGCAGGGATCATTGGTGGGGCAGTGGCCTTAGTCTTCCTCTTCCTGGTCTTGGCAGCCATTTGCTGGTATGTCCACCGGACGGGCGAGCTGCTGACGCGGGAGAGGGCCTACAGCAGGGGCAGCCGGAAGAAAGACGACTACGTCGAATCGGGTACCAAGAAGGACAACTCCATCCTGGAGATCCGAGGTCCTGGGTTGCAGATGCTTCCCATCAACCAACACCGAGCCAAGGAGGAATACGTAATCCACACGATATTCCCATCCAACGGCACCAGCTTATACAAAAGCACCCATACCATCGGCTACGGCACAACCCGTGGATATAGAGACGGAGGCATCCCAGACATAGATTACACCTATACATGATGGAGAACCATCGCTCCCTCTCAACCCCCACACCGCCCCATGCGGCTGCCACCGGATGGCTTACAAATCGAGGAGAAACTATTTTCTCTAACAGAAACGGCTTGAATGGCAGGCATTGGGGAGAAGGGAGGGAAAAACTATTTTGTAGAAAAACAAGGGGTGGTTAAAAATTAAAAAAAAAAAAGACATAATTTATATTTAATATTCCAGATTTCAAACGAACAACACGTGCTCATGGATCGTCATGGATTGAGGAGAAAAAGCTACCTATTCATATCTTTCCTCTCGTGTAAATCTATTTTCTTTTTCAGGAGATAGGTTATAAAAGAAAAAAAAATTCAACACATAACTGTCATTCCTGACTGCTGACCGTTGACGGTTTAGCCATCCCCGCTTCAGATAGGAGAGGAGGATTTTTCTCTCATTTTAATGGGATCTACTTCCAACCCTTTCCTGTCTTTATTCCCATAACTGGTTGCTTGGTTTTACTTTTTATGCCGCCTTCGTCAACTGTTTTGTTAAGAGCGAACGGATTTGGATTTCCCCCCTCTCCCAAAGCTGGGGGGGAAATGGGAAAATATTCCATATTGCAGCATAGTTCCTGGGCGCAGACAATTGAATTGGACCCCTTGGTTAACTCCAGACACTTCAAGTAGAAACATTATCTAATTCAATTCATAGCTTTGTCCATAGCAAAAAAAATTATATATATATATATATATATATACACACACACACACATATATATATATATACACACACACACAAACCTCCTCATCATCATTTTCTTCCAGACAGCTCGGGTGATGGCTTCCAGGGGATAAGGTGCAGGATGCTGATGTCCAAATGTATCTCAGGTTCCATTGGGTCACATATATTTGGGGGAAGAAGTGGATTTCGATTCAGATTCCAGCACAATAGGCTTCGGTGGAAGATTCTGCCTTTTGGGCCAGGTGTTGGGAAGCAGGAATGCACAGGGGGCCCATGGTGCTAGGAAAAACCCATTCTGGGTCACCGCTGGTTTGGGAGAATCCTGCTGAGATGGTTAGAATTGCTCGAAACAAAGCCACAATGATACTTTCTTTTTAAGAGCAGGACCAGGCAGGTTTGCTCAGGAAGCCACAAAGATATATAAGCAGCCCCAATTAACACTCATCTATCTTCCTTGGAAAACCCAGCCTTGACTTTTAACTTTCTTCTCCTTTTATTAACATTCAAAGGTTTTAAAATTACACCCAGGTCCGAAATCAGGATAGGAGCGACTGGGTGCAATTCCATGGGCTTGGGCCTGAATGTTTTAGGAAAGGTGTGTGCAAGGTCAAGTGCAAGGATATGGTACTACAGTCCAGCAGTGCTGGGGATAGAATCCAGGCATCCTAACTCCCAGTGTCCCCCCGCTCTAACCACTAAACCCCACTCGCTCAGGTGCACAGATCTAGCCCTGGGCTAGAACACATGCATAAAGAATCCGCTGCAGTGCCACTGTGCTCCTGTGAGGCTGTATCTCAGAGCAGGGTTTGTGGAAGGTGCATGGCGATGCCCTGGTGCTAACTACGGCATGTCACTAGCAGCCGAAGTACCAGATCTCAGAGGCTCATAAGGTCATCACAGAGTGGACACGGGATCTAAAGTCGCTGAAAGAGGTCTGGGGGAATCAGTGAGGGGGCTGTACCAGCCTAGGCATGAATATTCACTTGCCCCCACTGCTGCCTCCCCCCCCACACACACACACACAAAACATGCACACAGAGAAACACACATACAGAGCCAATCTCACTCACACACACAGAGGTCTGTCTGTCTCTCTTTCATAGAATCATAGCAATGTAGGACTGGAAGGGACCTTGCAAGGTCAGCTAGTCCACCCCCCAACACTGAGGCGGAACCATCTAAGACAGGTGTTTGTCCAACCCGTTCTGACATATCTCCAATGACGGAGATTCCACAACCTCCCTTGGAAGCCTGTTCCAGTGCGTAACTACTCTTCTTATTAGAGTTTTTCCTAATATCTAACCCAAATCTCCCTTGCAGCAGATTAAGCCCATGACTTCTTGTCCTACCTTCAGTGGACATGGAGAACAATTGATCCCCATCCTCTTTATAACAGCCCTTTACATATTGGAAGGCTATTATCAGGTCTCCCCTCAGACTTGTTTTCTCAAGACTAAACATGGCCATTTTTTTTTAATCTTTCCTCATAGGTCAGGTTTGCTAAACCTTTTATCATTTTTATAGCTCTCCTCTGGACTCTGTCCAGTTTGTCCACATCTTCCTAAAGTTTGGCGCCCAGAACTGGACACAGTTCTCCAGCTGAGGCCTCTCCAGTCCTAAGGAGAGTGTGACACTTACCTCCACTGTCTTACCTATGACACAATGATATTAACCTTTTCTGCAACTGCATCATATAGTGGATTCATATTCAGTTTGTGATCCCCATAATCCCCAGGTCTTTTTTGGCAGAACTACCACCTAGACAGTTCTTCCCCATTTTGTAGTTGTGCATTTCATTTTTCCCTCCTAAATGTAGTACTTTGCACTTGTCTTTAGTGAATTTCATCTGAGTGGTTTAGACCAGTTCTCCAATTTCTCAAAGTCATAAAATGCTTTCAACCCCTCCCAGCTTGGTGTCATCCACAAATTTCATAAGCATATTCTCCTCTCCGTTATCCAAGTCATTAATGAACATATTGAATAGTACCAGACCCAGGACAGACCCCTGCAGGACCCCACTAGATACACCCTCCCAGTTTGACGGCATACCGTTGAATTACTCTTTGAATTCAGTTCTTCAACCAGTTGTACCCACCTTAAAGTAATTTTATCTAGACCACATTTCCCTAGTTTGCTTATGAGAGTGTCATGTGGGACTGTGTCAAAAGCCCAATATTAAGATCTATGTCTACCGCTTCCCCCCTATCCACTAGGCTAGTAATCCAGTGAAAGAAGGAAGTTAGGTTGGTTTGGCATGACATATTCTTGACAAATCCATGTTGGCTGTTACTTAGTACCCTATTATCCTCTAGGGGCTTACAAATTGGTGGTTTAATAATTTGTTATTATTTCATACATACATACATACACACACACACAGTTGAAAATCCTTGATTCTGGAGAATAGGAATAAATACAATTATCTGGCTGATTGGAGAGCCGGCAATAAATATCCCATTAGCAATATCTGTAAAAGGTGCTGTCTCCTTGCTGATGGCTCTGCCAGTGGCTTTCATCCTTTAATAACTAAAACAGTCCCACATAAAACACTTTTACCTGCTTATGACAAAACAATAGATGCCAAAACTAAACGAATTCTAGACCAGATAACCCACAAGGATACAGAATAAAACTCCTCTGTCTTCCAGCCCCAAGAGGGGGAAAATAATCCCAAGTAAGGGAAGTGGCTAAAAGATTTGATTCTGCATTGTCCTGTGTCTTGTTTTGTCACTTATTCCAGTGCAAAGTGAGCTGCTGTTCTGATTAGGTGGCATTTCACACCCATTTTGCATAGGCATAAAGGACAACACTTGGCTGTAGGGCAATGTGTCCTGCATTTAGACCCAATTCAGCAAAGCACTTGAGCACATGCTAGACAAGTCCCAATGGGTGCATTTTCATTAGGAAAAAAGGTGTGTTAGCTAACATGAGTTAATATCCTAGTGAAGACAAAGCAGTCTGTAGTTTTAACACACATTAGTAGGTTGAAGTAAAAACTAGTGGAGAGCCCTGACCAAGATCAAGGCCACATCAACCTGTGCAATACAGAGATACATAATGAAAGACAGCCCCTGCCCCAAAGAGCTTACATATAAATAGACTAAGAATGGGACGGGATACAGAGGCAGAGAGAGGGGAAGTGATTTGCCCAAGGTCATACAGCAGGTCAGTGGCAGAGGTGGGAACAGAACCAGGTGTCCTGAATCCTAATCCTTTGTGCCATCCATTAGAACACACTGCCTTCCTAGAAACGAGCCACTTTGGGTCACATATCAAAAATGGTTTAGTTAAACTGGAGCAAACTGTGTGAACTATTTGAAACTGGTTTATATTGGTTTGACTTGTGCCTGTACGGCATTGTGTATATGGGAAGGTTGCACCAGTATAAAAAGAGTGGATAGTCTTACTTCAATTTGAACCTGGTTTATATCAATCCTGTATACGGCGTTGGCGAGACTGATACTGAAGTACTGTCTCCAGTTCAGCAGGCCATATTTTAAAAGGGATATTAAAAAATTGGAGAGGGTGCAGAGAAGACCCACAAAAATGGTTCAAGGGCTGAAAAAAATGCCTGCCAGTCAGAGACTTCATAAGCTCAAACTGTTTAGCTTTTCAAAAAGATCAGGAGGTGACTTTGATTACTAGTAAGCACGTACATTCATGGGGAGAAAATCGTAGGCCCTAAAGGGCTCTTTAATCTAGCAAAGGAAGGCAGAACAAGACCCAGTGGCTAGAAGTTAAAGTCAGACACATTCCAATTAGAAATAAGACACCAATCTTTCACAGTGCAAGTGATTAACCATTGGAACAAACTCCCAGGGGATGGGGTGGATTCTCCATCTCTTAGGTATCTCCAGATTCAGACTGGCTGCCTTGCTGGAAGATGCTTTAGCCAAACGACAAGTTACTGGGCTCAGTACAGGGGGAACTGGGTGAAATGTTATGGCCTGTGTTATGCAGGAGGTCAGACTAGATGATGTAATTGCCCCTTCTGGCATCAAACCAATGGAGTACAGTCCACACACAGTCGCACCCACTTATCTATATTGGTTTAACATTAACATCTTTAGCTAAATCGGTACAATTTCTGTGGACAGCCAAGCTCTACATTTATCAACACAATCTAAATCAATATGAGCCAGGTTTAAACTGATATAAGGACATCTCCACAGACTTTTGCACTTATTTGTCTGAACACCAGGTCTTATATCTTGCTTATAATCAAAATCGTGCTCATCTCATCTCATCTACAACCAGAGTGGCAACAATTATTACTATTTATTATTTGTATTATCGGAGCCCCATTCATGGACCAGGACCCCAATGTGCCAGGAGCTATACAAACACAGAAAAAGACACAAGTCCCTGCTTCAAAGAGCTTACAATCTAAGTGTAAGATAAGAAACCTGGATACAGACAGAGCAATAGAGAGTATGGTGATTTTAATCTGAGTTAGTAACAATCCCTAGCATTTATATAACCTTTTTCATGAGTAGATCTCAAGGGCTTTACAAAGGATAAATAGCATTATCCCCATTTTAGAGGTGGGAAACTGAGGTACAGAGGGGGGAAATGACTTGCCTAAGGTCACGCAGCAGGCCAGTGGCAGACCAAGGAATAGACACCTGGTCTCCTGAATCCCGGTGCAGTGCTCTATCCATAAGACCACATTGTCTGTCCAAATGCAAGCATTCAAAAATCAGAAGGGTTTTTTTTTTTTCAAAACCTGTGGGGTTCCTTTTATTTGTCTTCCAGATGTCACGTTCTTCTCTATAACCAGGAGAGCTGGAGATTATTTTTTGACAAGGCTGGCAGTCATGAGAATCCAGGAGTGCAGCCTGCATTATAGACAAACCCCCAGATCTGCCCTTGTGCCCACATCTGCTTTTACACTTCACCCCTTGCAAACTGCAACTGCAATTCCAGAAAAGCTTGGCTCTGATGTTCCTTGGAAAATACAGCTTCTCCAGCTGATTATGCCGCTGGTCTATCCCAATGCAAATTTATGCAGCTATTTAGCCACTTGCCAGAACAACCGAGGGATAGGATGGAGGGATATTTATTTACAAAGTTCAAAAGAAAGTCATTTTAAAGTAGGAAAAGTCTTATTGCTCTTCCTTTCCATTCACATCCATGGCAAGGTAAAAGATGACAAAAGAAAGGCATACAGCGGAGCTTATATTTATATGATTAACACTGCATGAAAGGATCCAGCCCTCAGTTCCGGCATTCCACCTCCCACGAAGTGTAATTTTATTAAGTGTTTAACTCTACACACAGCACTTAACAAATGGAGCTAATTTGAACTAGTGCTCCAAGAGGACACGTTTAGCACAATGCAAACCTGGTGCTCATTAATTCAGGTGATTCGAGCATGTTTCGCTTATGTCTTTCCCTTCCGTGCACCTGGAGTTTACAGTAACAATTTACAGCTCAGCTTGCAAAGCTGCCATAATTTAAGACAGAGCCATTCAAACAGGTAAAAAAAAGTTTTAAAATGCAAATGATTTGCCTTTATTTATTTATTTGTTGCCAAAAAATTCAGTTGCTAAACTCATTAGCTGAAACGAAGCCACTTAAAGGTGACACTGAATATGGATTTTTTTTTTATGTCTGCCAAGGGTTGGCTCCTTCTGCATGAAGCGTCAGTGATCTTGGCTCTTGGGGGCCTAGGGTAACCAGATGTCCCAATTTTATAGGGACAGTCTCAATATTGGGGGCTTTGTCTTATACAGCCACTTATTACCGCCCACCCCTGTCTTGATTTTTCACACTTGCTATCTGGTCATCCTGCAGGGGCCCAATCCTGCAAATGCCATGTGAAAAGCAGGCATGAGACCAACCAGAATATTTCATGCTCACTTTGCACTAGTGTGAACGAGTCGAGCCCTGTAGCTTCCACCATCAACATTTGATCCAGGTGGAATCTTGAGCCTAAAGACAAGCACAAAAATTCTCCGAGGAAGCAGTCTCGTCCACAGACTGTCTCTGTACCTTACAATCTAGCCTCACTACTAGACATCACTCCCCCAAACACACACATTGAGCTATCTGTTCAACTCACTTATGCCATACAGCTTGATAGCTGCCTAGGGCTTTTAACTGGAGTAACAGCAGACACTGTCTTTGAATAGCACATAATCGTTTGGCCTGAATTCTCCACTGGCTTCTTAAATTTTCTTCTTGTTCCCTTCCATTTTTGCAGGGCCTGGCTTTTGCAATCCCAGAATCTGGAGCAATTTATCTCATCCCTCCCTCATCCCTGGGAGTTTAAAGAGATATGGGATAAAATTTTCAAATGTGCCTAAGTGACTTAGGAGACAAAGATCCATATTTAAAAGTGACGTAGGTAATATAGCGCCTAAGGCTCATTGAAAGCCAACAGGATTTAGGCTCCAAAGGTATTTAGCAAACCTGATCAAAAATTTTCATACAAAACAGTTTTCTGTCAGAAAATGCTGACTGGATTAAATCAGAATTTTTTTTGCTGGATTTCATCAGCATTTTTGTAGGAAATTATCCAAATTGTTTTGTTTTTAAAAGGGAGGAAAGCTTGGTTTTGATGCTGCATTTTTAAATTCTAGTATCATATTGTCTAAAAGTCTAAACGAGACATTTTGACCTTATTGAAACAAAATAATTTTGAATTGTTCACAGAATGGAAATTCCATTTTTTGGCCAGCTCTAGTATTTAAGCACTTAAAGATGCAGATGGGTGCCTACTAGGATTTTTAAATGTGCCTAAATGAGCTAGGTGCCTAAATCCCATTGCCTTTCACTGGGAGTTAGGTGCCTAACCTGCTTGGGGGCTTTTGAAAATCTCACTAGGCATCTACCTGCATCTCTAGGTGCCTAAATACCTTGGTAAATCTGGCCCTAAGTCACTTTTACAAATGGGTCTTGAGCTCGTAGGTCACTTAGGTGTTTTTTTAATAGAGGTCCCTTCCTAAAGCTTTTCTCCTCCCTTAGAATAAGCTTAGCTACTTTATTCTTTCTGCGGCAGATATCTGGGCATGATCTATTGATTAGGGTTGGGGGGATGGGACTGGGAGCCAAGACTCCTGGGTTCTACTCCCAGCTCTGTTGCTGACTCACTCCATGATGTTGGGCAAGCCACATACCCTCTGTGTGCCTCAGTTTCCCCCAAGAGTAAAACAGGGATTTGAGACTAAATTACCTAATGCTTGTAAATTGCTTCTTGCTGGGAAGTGCTACAGAAGTGCACAGTATTGTTATTTTTAATAAGTTGTGGGAACAGAGTTGTCCCTGCTCTTTGACATTCAAAGCAAAGACAATCTGGTGGAATGGTGGCCCATTTTCACCTCAGTCAGCAAGATGAGATTAAAGGCCAGCACTCTGGACCTATCTAATTTCATCTGTTTGTGACACAGTGTTCCCAAACAGTTTAAAATACATCCCGAACATAGGAATCAAAAGACTAAATCAGACCCATGCGCCATGTAGCCCAGTATCCTGGCCAGATTCTTCAGAAGTATGCTTGCATTAGGCAGATGTGGGATAATCTACCCTCTACAATCCCTAATAGAGGTCAGTTTAAGCCCTGAAGCATGAGTTTTAATATCCCTTCTAATGCTCATTTTGTTGGCATTAACTATTTTAACTCTGGATATTCTTGTTACCCAAACATCCAATCCCTCTTTGAATCTTTCAAAGGTTCAAATAATCAGACCTGATGTTTTAAAAAATGAAGCTTTAGGGTGAGAGTCACCCTTTCAACTAATTAATTCAAGCAAGCATCGCAAGTCCTGTTTTGATGGTCATATAGACAAGTTAATAGAAATACCCTTGGCCCAGATCTGGGTGCCATCAGTTTGACAGCAGTGTAACCCCCAGTTTGAAACTGATATGAATCCCAGAATTTGACACCAGTGTGACTCTCATCTTGAAATGGTGTCACTCCCAACTTGAAACTGACATAATTCCCAGTTCGACACTGGTGGGACTCGCTGACTGCAGTGGAAATTACTCCTGATTTACACTGGTGAAACGCTGATCAGAATCAGGGCCCTTATGCTCGCAATCAGTGATGCAGCCTTTACAAACAATTTCTTTCCTTGTCAAGGAATATTAGTCCCCTTCTCATCCTCACTTTGATGGACAGAAACTTTAGTAGAGGAGACATTCATTTTTGTTCCTTAAGATTGTTGTTATGAGATCATGAGATACTGGTTTGGTTCTTTGTTGACTTGACTCTTGTGCACTCATTTCCACCAGCGCAAAGTGAGAATGTAAATATTACCCATTCTAATTAGGTAGCACTTTGTGTGACATTCAGGGAGACAAGAAATGGGGCCCATTTCATTTTGACTTCAAAGGCAGTTTTGCCTAAGTAAATTCTACAAGCTTTGCCCCTGGCTGTGCTGTAGTCTGGATGGGGGCTGGTATCAAAACCGGTGGCATCAGAACATGGTTCGCAGGGCATCTGGCTTTTTGGCACCGCAGTTACAATTCCAGGGAGGGCTGGATCGATTTTCATACGTGGCTAGTAAACAAAGAACAGGATTGTCTTTGAGGCTGGGGAATGCAAGGCAGAAACAAATGTATCTAAAGAGGCCTAGGAGTTCCAGCTCCTATTTGGCCTCTGTTTAAATATATCAGTATCCATTGAAGAATTTACAATATACTGTAGCCTCTACATAATGCTACTCTTACTGCTGGGGGCACTATCTAAACAGCACTCCCTTCCACTACCACTCTTAGCCTTCGAAACCTTATTTTCACTGGTTGTTGCAAGAAAAGCTATGACAGGACTAGAACCTTTGGAGCTGTGAACTCCAAGCAGTTGGTTGAAGTAATAAAGTGGGAGTGAGGTAAAGGTCAGTGATGAAGGGGGCAGAGTTAAGGTTCGGTAGTGGGAGTGAGGCATACATTAATACACCTCTATCCAACCCCAAACACTCCCTCTATCTTCTATCCATCCCCAAACACACCCCTCTCTATCTATCCAGCCCCCATCCAACCTTCTATCCATCTACCTATCTGCATACACATCTTTATATTGATCTCTGCATTCACCCATCCCTCCCTCTTTCTCCACACACATTTCCTGGGTTTGGGAGGTTTACGTTTGCATGTTCTTAACGTAAGTTTAGCCACTTTGCACATTCTGGAAAGGCACATGGCAGCAGCAGGCAATCATAAGTCTGCCTTAACCAAGTTTTGGGGTAGTTAATCGACAGGGAAAGTATTGCATAAAGCGAGGAGCATGGCTAGTATTGTCGCTGTCATCTTCATGGCTGTTAATTGACATGCAAACCAATCATCCCAAGGAGCAGCTCACCTTCCATTCCCCCACATAATCCAGATCAGAGTTGGACTGGCGCTCAGCCCAATGGACATTCAGCAGCTCAACACAGCTGCAAAGAAAGTCAGCCCCTCGCATAGCATCATGAAAAGATTCAGTTCAGCTCCTTGCAAACTGGACCTCGCATAGCATCATCAGACAGACTCAGTTCTGCAAGGGATCCATGGGACCTCAAACAGCACCATCAAACAGAATCAGTTCAGCATTATGTTCAAATTCTGTATCTTCACATCAGTGGGACCACAATCCTCCCATTCGTCCATCCCTTTTCTTCTTCCATGCATCTGCTGAGCCATGCGCCGACGGAGACCAGCCTGGTTATCCCATCTCCTCGCCACCAAAATAAGGGTTCTTTTCTGAGAAACCAAAGTGCACTCATTGCGCGCCCTTTGGCCTCTTTCCTTTAGGTGCCTTGAAATTTTCAACGTCTGAGATGAATGTGTTCCTTTGTCCCCCCCTTTTTTTTCATATAAAAATAAAAAACAAAACAAATGGACAAAAAAAAGTATGAGTTTAAAAGAAAAAAATTCTTTCCTTGTCCTTTCTTGAAATAAAATAGAAAGATTTAACTTTTATGGTGGTTTGAGTCATTCTCTCTTTGCCTGCAGGGGTGGGGCTGGGTGTGAAACTGCAAAATTAAAATAAAGGCACTGTCATGTAGAGGAATAAAAGTGGATTGGTGCTAGGCTAGGCTTGGAGAGTGAGTTGGAAGAGGGCTACCAAGGGAATTATATGTTGCTTTTTCTCCGCAAAGCACTGCACCGTGGCCCTGGGAACAGGTAAGCATTTCCATCCCCAAGGCCAGAGCGATGTTAGTGTATAAATATTAAGGCAGCTCCTATAACCAACCTCTATCTATCCATCCATCCGTCTCCATATATACTCTTCTATCTATTCATCCATCTCTTTACACATTTTTCTCTATCCCCATATCACCCTTCTTTCCATCCCCATGAACACCCCTCTATCTATCGCTGTACACAGCACTCCAGCTATCTGTCTAGCCATCCTTACATTTATCCATCCCCAGTCATATCTATTTGTCTATCTATGGCCACCCCTACCTCTCTGGATGCCAGGCAAAAAAACTCCAGGGCTTGTAGCAGGGGGACAGGCATTGGCCATGATGTAATGGGGGATGTGAAGGGAAGAGATGTGAGGGGAAAGGCAGTAGGCCGTGGTGTGAAGGGGAATGTGAGGGGAAGGTCTAATGCCCTTCCCCGCTCATCCCCCTCACACCATGGCCTAATGCCCTTCCCCTCACACCGCCCCTCACACCATGGCCTAAGGACCTTCCCCTCACATCGCCCCTCACACCATGGCCTAACGACCTTCCCCTTACATCCCCTCTTCACACAATGGCCTAAGGCCCTTCCCCTCATGTCCCCTCACACCATGATAGGGGAAGGTCATTAGGCCATGGTGTGAGGGGGTGAGAGGGGAAGGGCCTTAGGCCATGGTGTGAGGGGGATGTGAGGAGAAGGGCATTAGACCATGATGTAAGGGAGATGTAAGGGGAAGGTCATTAGGCCATTGTGTGAGGGGGATGTAAGGGGAAGGTCGTTAGGCCATTGTGTGAGGGGGATGTAAGGGGAAGGTCATTAGGCCATGGTGTGAGGGGGATGTAAGGGGAAGGGCATTAGACCATGGTGTGAGGGGGATGTGAAGGGAAGGGCTTTAGGCAGAGACCCAACTCCCAACGAATTCTCCATGGTTTCCTCACATACACAAAACTTCCTGTCCAGCTCTCATTGCTCAGAGAGAGGGCAGAATGGGGAGTTCCAGGCACAGAGGAAGGGAAAAACACAATAAGGATTCAGCCTCTGAAGCTTTTCTGCCTGACATGGAGACATGGCTGGCTGGCTAACAGGTGCAGAGATTTCTTTAACTGAAATGACAGGGACATTTTCCCTGGCTTATCCCGCGAGGTTGGAGGCAGAGATGAAAGTTGGAGGCTCACCCCGCTAGTCATGTGGAGTGGAGGCAGAGATGAAGGGCTGGAATTTACAGACTGCATTTGTTTGTTCTGTAGATGTCATGAGCGCTAGGAGCCGACTTCTCCTCTACCCCACCCCACCCCCAACTTGGCACTCCGCTATGTTCCCCCCATCCTCAATCTACCTTTCAAATGCCCCGGAGAAAATTATTTGCTGTCAGGAATAACAATGGTTTTTGCTATATTTAACCTAAAATCCAAGCTCATTGCTTCCGCATTAGACCTGATTTCATGTCTAGTTACAGGTTAATGGATATTTCCTCCTTACCACATTGCATGGGAATGCCATTTCTCAGCTCGGGAACACGCTTCAGTGGCAGCTTTTGTGCATCAAAAGCAGGCTGGGGCTCAAAGGCTGGGGAAATGATCACACCTGCAGAGACACTCTAGTGACCTGTAAGGTACACTGTGCCCTAGTCCAACCACAAGCTATCAGGCTCCATGCAAGAATGGCTGGGTGGCTTTCTCTGGCCTGTACTTATGCAATAGGTCATAATGATCCCTTCTGGCTTTAAAATCTGTTACCTCAGCTGTCAGCGCACACATTATAGGAGATACTACATTCACTGGGCCAGCTCTCCAGCTGGTGTAAATCAGCATCACTCCATTGGAGTCAATGGGCTGCTCCTGGTTAGGGGTGATGACAGCAAATAATTTTTTCACCCTCGCCAGCAAAATGCCTATGGCCAATCCTGCATGTCCCCTCCCCATATTCCCCCATGGTACCTGGCGAAAGAAATGTAGGCAATAAGATGACACCGGGATTAAAGGGACAGACCCAGAGGGCGTACAAGAAAAAGCTGTCAAGAAAGATGTGACAAGTCCTTAATTATAAGCAACTTCCTGAAGGGCCAAGGTCACTCCATTGGGGACTCTGCTATGTACCTTGATTCTGAGAGCAGCATGAAACCCAATTGACACTAAGAAGGAAACATTTTAGCCTGAATAATTGAGGTCCAGAAAAGGCCACATGCCCAGTCCACAATTTAACTGGCCAGCTCTGGAGGCTGGAAACAGAGGTTAAACCTGCCAGAAAACAGAAATATTAACGTCCTTTCCAGACTGGAGAAAAGCAGCTTCCCGATAGGCATTATTTATATCACAATGATGCTTGGAGAACCCAGGTGTGACTGGGGATCCGTTGTGCCAGGCAGCGTAAAGACCCCAACTGAGATCAAGGCTCCCATTGTGCTGAGCATTGCATAGACACAGAGTAAGAGATGGTTCTTGTCCTGAAGAGTTTACAATCTAAACAGACAAAAGGCAGAAGGGGAAACTGAGGCACAGAGATGGGCAGTGATTTGCCCAAAGTCAGTGGCAGATCAGGAATAGAACCCAGGTGTCCTGACCCTCAATCCATTACCTTACCCACTAGACCAAAGTGCCACTGAAAAGCTTGCCATTTCATTTAGAAAGGAGCGGCACACTGAGATACAGAATAGCCCAGCAGTATGTCCCTGCACTGGAACTAGAAGTTGTGGGTTCAATTCCAACTCTGCTACAATCTCCTTAGGTGAGTCACTTCTCTTGTTGGGCCTCAGTTTTCCATCTTTAAACTGAGAATAAGAATCCATCTCTTACCTATCTAGACTGTAAACTCTCTGAGCCAGGGACTGTCTCTCACCATATATCTGTGCAGCACCTGACACATCAGGGCCCTGATCTCAGGTGGGAGTCTATGCAGTGCCCAGCCCAATGGGGCATCAATGTCAGTTGGGATGTCTAAAGGAAAGCTGATCTCTTGCAAAATCTGGCTTCTATCGTATGGACTAAAGGATATCTGTCCCTCAGGGGAAATCCTCTCCCAGGACAATCATAGAATCATAGAATATCAGGGTTGGAAGGGACCCCAGAAGGTCATCTAGTCCAACCCCCTGCTCAAAGCAGGACCAATTCCCAGTTAAATCATCATCCTACACATTCGGCGCAATCTGATGCTTCCCAAATGGGCAATGACATCTGGGGTGGTCTCTCGTGTCATCATTTACACTAGTGTGAAGTAAGCAGACAATGCCCTCTAGATTGTTTGACATCCATCCGGCTTGACTGCATGAGGTTGCTCTTTCGAAATCTCTGGGACTTGGGGGTGGATTAGCAGGGATGATACTGCAGGAAGCAGCTGGGGTTGTACTTCAGATCAGGGAATTTGGAAGTAGGGTTTTAAACAGGGTGGGGTACTCATTTCTGGATAGCTCTTTCCGAGTGGCACGCGCCCTGAATCAAAGCACCCCTTGATGCATGGCATGTTTCCAAAAGCCTACTGAGGAGGAGTCGGCAGGGAATATAAAAGCATCTTAAATCCTCTTTTATTCACCTAGAGCCTTGGGCACCTAATCACCTCTTCAAAGCCAGCCCGGGCTGGTGCAGAGGAGAGGAAATATTGTAACTGGATCTTTCCTGGGGCTCTAGCAAATGGATTCGTCGTGGGAGAAAGGATTCAGCTTTTCCTTGTGTTGCTATAAGGGGGAAAACCCAACAGTGCATCTGCTGGAATATCCAGGTTAGGATACAGGGGAATGGAATTGCCTGGTGTGAAGACTCTCACAGGACTCTGTGTTCTTATCCATTGGTATAAGTGACTTGTGCTTTGTCTGTACTGGGTTGGGGGCCGGGGTTGCATTAGTGCAAGACCCTAGTGCTGGTGTGTTGCACTGTGTAAAGTATGATTTGCAGCAGTGCATACTCCAATGTAAAAAGTAACTTGCACCAGTGCTAGTCCCTCGTGCAGACAAGTTGTACTGTTGTGAACAGACTTGCATAGTTTAAGGCCCTAGCGCAGATTTGTCACTCCAGTGTAGAAAGTGACTCACCCATTTGAAACAAAGGAGTTTTACACCAGCACACTCTTTGACACTAGTGCAATGGTCCTGCCAAAGGGGTTGCCACAATACAGATACAAAAAGAAAAGGAGTACTTGTGGCACCTTAGAGACTAACCAATTTATTTGAGCATAAGCTTTCGTGAGCTACAGCTCACTTCATCGGATGCATACTGTGGAAAACAGATACAGATACAGCAGCGCAAACATCCCCCACATCTCATGATTTTTAAGACAATCTCAGGATTTTTCATGGTGTCTGAATGCTTCAGACTGATGATGCCGGGAGGGTTGGATAAAAGAGCATGGAAGACAGGGAGCTGAGGTAGCAGCATGATTGAGGAACTCTGACTGAGCTAGCCAGCGAGATTGCAGATGTATTTAAGTATCCCTTTGGATCAAAGGCAACTGAGTGTGAAGGTAAAAGACTAAGCCACTTCCTTCTGCAGAGGAAGGAACAGCAGGACTCCAGCTCCTGCAGTTTGGTGTCTCTCCCAGCACCCCCTGCAGCCCCCTTTGGTCTGGAAAAGCATCCCTGTGAAAGAGACAAAGCGCTGACAAAGGGTGGTAATGATAACTGGCATTTCATTTTTTACAGGGAGTATTTTGCACAGAGAAGCAGGATGGGCAGAGAGCAGAGCACAGTAGGAAATAGGCAGCACTTGGCAATGCTGAGCTGCAGCGCTGGGGTAACACACACACTGAAAGGGCCCATGGGACTGGGAGGGAGTGCGGTGCCCCAAAAGGGTACATGCACAC